AATTTCAAAGAGACGCATCACAAAATAGTGCGAAAAGCATTAATTATTTTTTTTATCACAGCTAATTACGCTTTTACTGTTCCGAAAAGCGAATATTTATCGATGATCGCGTATGATACATAGAGCGATGCAACATGATTCGATCCATCTTTTACAAGCATATATACTTTTGGATTTTTATGAAATATTTTAATTGCAATAAATTTATGAAAATTTGGAAATTTGTTGATGTCCGATTGTTTTAATGTTGCATGTAAGATCCATGCTTATTTGTGTTGTATTACTTTTGTATTAAAGAGAAAGAGAAAGAAAGAAAGAGAAAGAAGGAAAGAGGGAAAAAGATTAGAATACTATAGCACACAAGTTTAAATTAGCTTGCGATTTAAAAATAAAAATATTCATAAAATTTTTAACTCTCCGTTTTTAAGCTTTCTATATTAAATCCAAATAATATTACATATATGTATAGTTGAGAGAAATGATTTCGTTTCTTTGAAAGTCATTACTTAATTGTGGCTGAAGAAATAAAAATTATAAGAAAATCGATCTTGAGAAAATCAATTTTGATGCATCACTAGTTGTGATGCAATAATTTCAATTTTCTAACACCTCATAATCATATATATTGCATCGCGATTAGTCCTTATATGATATTTTAAGTTATAATGCTAATAGACAATATATTTCTCGACATTTCGTGTCGTGACTCACGCGACGTGATCCTAGCGAGTTAAGTAATGTACCACACAGTAAAGGGATAAGCTAGAAAACTGAATCATAGTTATCGCATATTATATCATTTTATATATATATATATGTGTATGTGTGTGTGTGTGTGTGTGTGTGTGTGTGTGTGTATTAGAAAAGGTTTTTTCACCGTAATTATACTTCGGCTTAATCGACATGCTTATCGGTTGACTTCAAGGAGGTCAACAGGCTTCCGTGCCACCTTGTCGCGAATTATTTTATACTTACCTATACTATATGATATAAGGGTTGTCAGATTATGGGAATTAAGTTTTTAAAAATATTCTTTTTCCCCTAATATATGACAGCGAGAACCAAATGTCAGTTGATCTTTTTTTTATTTAAAAAATCATCGTGTATACATTATATATATATATATATATATATATATATATATACAA